TCACGAGGTTCGCCTGAGCCGCCTAGCACCCCACCTACAGTCCTAAACCCTAGCCGATCACAGAGGGGGCGGTGCCAGCGACGGAAAGCGCCGCCACCGCCTCTGCATCACACCGGAGGACTGCTACGACACCAGGCTGCCCTGCGGTGTCTACACTGACCCCGGACGACACTGCTACTGCACTGCCACCGGATTATCGCCAAGCATTGCGATGGTGAGCCCATCTTCCTCCAAAGCAGCCGATGGTTTGCACCATTCACCCCTCTCTTTTTCTTGTTCTATCTACTGTTATTGCACTAGTAGATATTCTAGGACTCATGGTTTATTCAAGTGCAAATAGATATGCTAGTTCTATGCCTAGAGCTCCTATTTTAAGTTCAACACCCAGTACTTGCTGCAGTAGAGCGAGGAGGGGAAGCCGTATGTCGGCGGCGACAGCCCTAGCCGTGAACCACCAGCGCCTGCGCTGGACGATCTCCATCTGCTGGTAGACGTCGGCCGGGTCGAACGGCCGCGGCGCCACGTCCTTGATGCACCGGAAGAAGCAGCACGTCATCTTGTCCTCATCGCGGGAGCACGCCCTGACGAGCCCCCTGTGCTTGCCCTTGGCGATCACGGCATAGTAGCGGTTGGACGACAGCGGCTGGTCGGGGACAGGCACGAACACCACGGCTTCTTCCTGGACACTGGTCGTTTTGCCGTTCGATACCGTGTACCGCACTTTGAGCACGCAGTCCTGCGGGAACGGGAGCTCTCGCACGCGCCGGTCGGGGAACAGGCCCCAGCAGCAAGTCTCTTCATCGGCGGCACCCTTCACGACGAGGTAGCCGGAGTTCCGGCCCTCCGGCGGTGCCGCGGACGCCCCTCCGGGTGGCTCTTAAAAAGAGACATCGGCTTCGTCGCATACATGCCAGGCCTTTTTGCTTGGGTTCGTGTTTAGTGGATGCGAACTAATTGAATATGCGATCGAGTATATAAGGAGACACTGTAGCTTGCTTGGGTGATTTGGTCCCTGACCATGCCAACGCGTCTCTGAGCGTTAGGCATCACTCGTCAAATCAGAATAGCTAGTCTATTTGTTTTCTGAAGACCCAAAATTTGCGCGTTTGTATAGTCACTTTTCCTAAACGTCAGGTGCCTAGAAATTTGACGGAAAATTGACTTACTTCAGGCGACACACTGAACGTGTGGCACAAGCATGTTATATTTTTCTCTTGTGATTTTTTTATAATTTGTTAATTGTCTTGTGTAACAATATATTATTTTTTTTCTGAAGACTTCACCTGTGAAGTCGTCATTTTTTTGCTTCAACTCCACGAACAGCTCAATCGATAAATCTAGAGTAGTTTTGGTAAACTATTTGGCGAAACAGCTCTAAATGTAGAGGTCATTAAATCATGCTCTCCCAAAACCCCATGCAGGGCCCACCAGGGCAAGGTGGAGCCACTATTTTTGGCTCCACCCTCCATATATCCTCTGTGAGAGCATGATTTAAGGAGCTCCTTAGTGAAGCCATTTTATTTTACCTTGTTCGGCATAAAACGGCTCAAACGTCTTCAGGAACCGGTGGAGAAGCCGTGCCAAACGGGGCCTAAATTGTCTTTGTGTCAACATATATTAGTGTCCCATTTGTCACAGCTTCTCCAACGGCTTCAGAGCCGTTTGGAGCCGTTTTTTGCCAAACAAGATAAAATAAAACGGCTTCACCTAGAAAGCCCATTAAATATCGTGCTCTCACAAATGCTTAAAGTGAGATGTAGCTAAAAATAGTGGCTTCACCCGGCTTCACTTCGTCTTAGTGGATTTTGCATGGGGTTCTGTGAAAGTATGATTTAAGAAGCTCTACATGTGAAGCTGTTTTGCCAAACGGTTTACCAAAATAACTCTAACTCCATCGATGGAACTATTCTTGGAGCTAAAGCAAAAAAATGGCTCCACTAAATAAAGTGGAGCCATGCCAAACGGGGCCTAGATTTTGTCAGGTTTGTAATTTTGTCTATCGTGTTTTTTATTCCCGGATCCAAAAATTGCAAATTATGCCTACAAAAATTGCAACCAAGTAAAGTTGTAATTTTAACATATATAATAATTGTCACCTGAAAGGAAGCCAAAATTCGGACACCTGAATTTTAGCAACTCTCTTGTAGAGAACAAACGATAATGACAATCATTTTAACAGCAATGCCCAAATATCTTTTTGCAATTTTCTCAAGCTCAAAAACGAAGAGCAATGATTAGATTCTTTGTGGTGTGATCTGTTCATCCAAGTTCAAGTACTCGAATTAGCACGAGTGTTCACATTTTCTATAGTTGTTTCAGAATTTAATGATGTTATTATTCTTTTTAGTGGTAGACGATATGATCATTAACAGAACATGATGGTGATTTCGTTAATCTTGAGATATAGGAGCGAGTGTGCATGCATAAACAAATTGGATTGATATTATTTTTGTTACCTTAGCAATGTGTAGGTATTATGCTAGTATCCTTAAAATTTGAACAAACCTAAACTACTTTTTTACTAATCACGTGAATTAGTAATAACCCATGCCTATGCAAACATTCACAAAAGACACGGCTGTATAGTGCGATCCAACAGATAAGTTTCTTTTACATGTGAATTAGTGCTTTGCCATGCCTTTTGTAGCAGCTTCTAGCTTCCTTTCGGTAATGAAAGCTTTATTAATCTTAAACAGTTACATCAAACTAATACAATCATTCTAAGATCAATTATGATATCCACATAGATAGGATACATACAACCCAAGAGGAAAAACGAAGAGACAAAAATGGCATGAGATCCTATATCATATTGTAGCAAACTACGACACACAATCACCATAGCAACACCTGGACCTTGAGAAAGGTTTTACAAAACAATGCCTCCAACAAGGAAACAACATGTGCATGCACCACCTTTATAATGTTTCAACAGGCCAAGTTCTCTATTTTCATCCTAGAGAGAGATTAGATTTTTGAACTACAAGCAATGCATGAACAAATTGGATTGATATTGTTTCCGTTACTTGTGGCAACATGCGGGTATGTATTATGATGCCACCATTAAATTTGAACCAACCTAAACTACTTTTACTATCAAGAATCATTCTAAGAGACAGGTATTTGATATTTTTTTTACAAAGGTAGGCATGCTTACCGCTCTGTCAAATAATTTCTGTTAATGACATTTATAAAGGAGGTTGGCTTGCCCACCTGCATCTGTAAATCGATTAACAGCAACAGATATCTTAAAATGCCTGTGTTTGCTAATACTTTTTATAGAGGCGGCCACAACTTTCATTAGTCACAACAGCTCTTTACCAACAAACTATATATCCACATATATGGCGTTATCTTTTTATAAACATTTCATAATCTTGTATTGAATATTTCATGCTCTAAATGGTTCTAAATAAAAAAGTTACAACTACAAAGTTTTATATCTTGTCAAGCTCTACTATTTTGATATAGATTGTGTCTCCGCTCGAGATAGTTTGATAACTTCAAAAAAGTTGAATCTTAAGATCTAAGAGTTTTAAAATGAATATTTGAGACTATTTTTTTTAATTAAAATTTGTCAACTACAGAGTTGCATATTGCGTTGACAATTACAACTTTGATCTAGATCATGTCAATGTTTGATGTTGTTCAAATTTTTTTGATTTTAAATTTCAAAACATTAGAACATAAAATGAATATCTAGGAATCTAAATGACTTCAAATAATAAAAAATTATTAACTACAAAGTTGTAGATCATATTGAGAAATACACTTTTGTGTATATACCATGTCAATATTTGAGGTTGTTCAAAAGTTCTAAATTTTAAATTTCAAGATCTTAGAGCTCAAAACCATTTGTTTGGACTCTAAAGAGTTTCGAATAAAAAAATTATCAACTACAAAATTGTAGATCACATCAAGATCTAAAATTTTGGTATAAAGTTTGTCTTCACCTGAGTTAATATGAAAAAGCTAGTATTTTTAGACAATTATTTCTAGAGACAGGCCCTTAGAATGATCGCTTCTCTTAATCGTTTTTTTAGAGATGAACTCTTAGAATGTTCACATCTGCTAATAGCTAATTTCAGAGAAAGGCACTTGAAGTCCACTTCTGTTAATCGATTAACAGAGACAGATGCTTTAGGACACTCGCCTGGCCATTTACAAAGACAACCCAACGCAGATTTGAACGGGTGCTTGAAACTTTTGTTTGACAAAGCATTCGTAGCTTCTACGGGTGAGTATGGCTTACTGCAAAGCCATCATTAGAAATGATATGGACCTAACGTGTAGACGTGCAAGATGAGGCTACTAGCCACCTCGGACGCATTGGGGCTACTCTAGAGCTAACATATTCACGTGAGGGTGTTGCATGGGGTGTTTGGATACTAATAAAAAAAATAAATTATAGAATCCGTCAGTACTCCACGAGATGAATTTATTAAGCCTAATTAATCTGGATTAGCACATGTTTACTGTAGCGATACATTGTGAAATCATGGGCTAATTAGACTTAAAAGATTTGTCTCACAAATTAATCGTAAGCTGTGTAATTAGTTTCGTAATTAGTCTATATTTAATACTCCACGTACGTATCAAATATCCGATGGGACAGCGACTAACCAAACACCCTCTTATATGCTTGCGTTGGTGCTGCCTAGGGATGATATCCAAACAGCAACCCAAATATTTTGTGGCGAGTTTTGGCGAGGTGTGAAAGCAATGCAAAGGCGGCGACTAGCTGTTCGCGAGAAGCAAATTCTTGTTCTGCAACGCAAACAAGGCAGTCCGAACAAGAAAGTGCTTTGAAATTAACGGCAGTATACATCAAGCACTTTAATATTGAGTTACACAAAAAAGGTAAAATCGTGAACCGAAATGAAAACGAAATGAAACATTTGATACCTGAAGCAATCTCACAAACTAATTTACCCTCCTCTGTGACACAAGCGCAAAGAGCAAGAGTTGCGCTGAATATCGTGCATATGCATGCTCTGCATTCACAGCTGCTTTGCTCTGACTTTGTTGAGATGCACAAAGTCAAAGGCCAGAACCACGGTGCCATCCAGCCTCTTCACCACGAACCTCTCCACCAGCACCGAACCACCACCGCTGTGCGCGTGCAGCGGCTCCCAGCGCTGCTCGAGCGTCACCTCGTAGAACGCGCTGCGTTCCATCTGCTCACGTGGCGCGACGCCGGCTTCTTTGACGAGGAAGAAAGGGGAGTACCATTTCCCGACGGCGCCGTTGGTCGGCGCCGGGAACGCGTCGAGGACACCGGCGTCCGAGAGCTGGCCAGACCGGAGAGCGGCGTCCAGGCCCCGGGCCTCGCCGATTTGGAGGTCGAAGCTCTTAGGCTTTGACGCGTACACGCGCCAGTACTTCTTGCGGTAGAGGAAGTAGGGGAAGCCGTCGGGCGCCACGGCCCTCGCCGTGAACCGCCCGCGCCGGCGCTGCACGATCTCAATTTGCTGGTAGATGTCGGCCGGGTCGAACGGCCGCGGGTCCACGTCGTTGATGCACCGGCAGAAGCAGCAGGGGACCATGTCCTCCTCCGTGGAGCACGCCCTGACGAGGCCCCTGTGCCTGCCGTGGCGATGACGGGGTAGTAGCGGTTGGACGCCAGCGGCTGGTCGGGGACGGGCACGAACACGACGGCGTCGGCGTAGGTGGTGCTGCTCTCCCCGTGCTGCTCCGTGTACCTCACCGTCAGCACGCGGTTCTGCGGGAACGGGAGGTCCCGCACGCGCGCGACCCGCCGCAGGTGCCCCAGCAGCACGTTTCGTCGTCACTGCCCTCGTCGTCGGCGCCCTTCACCACGAGGTAGCCGGAGTTCCGGCCCTCTGGTGGCGGCCGCGACGCCGCCTCGGTGGCTCTTTGACAGGGACAGCGGCTTGGTCGCGTACATTCTGATTTCTGGTTAAGCTGATGATTTCGCGTACATTCTGAGTTTGTGTTGATATAAAGATCGATCAAGACATGTATATGTACATTGTATATTTGGCGACGGATACGACAGCGTTGACGAAAGATCCTATGAAATATTTTATGGATCTTATTACTAGCAGGTGATATGCTAAAATAAAGACGAGATTAAAAATCTGCTCACTGGACCGTATGGAAACGCGTCGTTGACTTGACTTCTCGTCGTTTTGAGCTTCTGATTGTTGAGTGATGAGAAATTGCCGGTGACGTGAGGTGCGTCTACAGTGTTTCGCTGAGAAGAAACCGGAATTCTCAACCAGAATCAGAGACTTGAGATCCTTTGCTACAAGATCATCAAAGATAAACATCTATTAGGAATATGGCTTTCTGTGTGTAGTGAAACTACCTCATAGTTCTAGGTTGAGTTTAAGCTGATGAACCCATGATATCTCCTTTGCTTAGTGGAGACGCATCTGATGACTGAGACGAAAACTAGAATAAGATGATAATTTAATACAATTTTGTGCATATAAGTCGAAGCTCAACAATGCTAACAATCCCCACACAGCAGACAGCACACACAAATCATTATCGGTACAGAAGTTAAAAACGCTGGCATGGTTGAACAGGGTATAAACGGTGAGACACACACTGGTTTGATAAAACACATTGGTTAATGGTCACTGCGTCAAATAAGATTGCATCGCCTGCAAAATAAAATTAGTGATAGGTTGATATAAGGCGGCAATTCCATTAGCAAACTTTACTACAACAACCGGTTGGTCAACAGAATGGGAAAACAAAACATACAGACTTAATCGGATTTTATTGGATCACAAACATATCAATCATGCCTATGACTAACATAAATGAACAATCTTTCTTAGAATACATGCCTTTTTTGTTTATCAGGAGTAACACCAAGATACAAATCTGAACTCAGACGGAGATGGCTAATGGTACAGTTGTATAGATGACTACCATTGAGTCAGCATTTCCAAGAACGTCACTCATGCTTGCATTAAGATATCTCCCAAGGTAAGACCAAACATAGTTGACACGGATGGAAAACAGTGCATCCATTGATGAGACCTTCTGACCTTCAGGGTATACAGAGTTGGTAGCAGTATATTTTCACTCCTCAGCCATGAGCCACCAATAATTAACTTGACACTGGCTTCCTCATGATCCGGTTTGCTGCCTACATCACTTCTTATAAGTATGCTGCCTTATTAGAGAGTCAATTCAAGTTTCCAGTTCCACATTGCCTTCCTCAAGACAAGCTAGGGAACAACCTATTCAATTCATAAAGTCGCGTCCTCCAGGCTTGCTTCATACATGCATTAAGCTTGGGAAGAAGGAAATGAAGCAACCTCAAGAGGACAAAGGAGCTAGCCAATGCAAGACACGTATCTTGATGAAGTAACCGGTCTGGTGATCTTGCCCATGATAACAGAGAATCCTCCTTTTCAGTCTTTTTGTCATGATCAATTATAGTAACTGTATCCTCCATTCTCTCCAGGGATGTGGCGTCCAATGACACAGGATTCAGGCCTTCATAATTTCAAAAGGAAGGTCAAATCTAGGAAAACTTTATGAAAAGGTAATTAAACGCTAGAGTGGCTCAAGCTGTGGGATGTGAATCCTACTAAAATACCACCATATCTACAGTTCTAGGAAAAATGCATGCTAAATCTGCAGTGCATGGCATCTGAATGGTTAAGGTGCAGCAGGAAATACTCAGCCTTTTGTTAAACTTAGTAGATTACAGTAAATATTGAGACGAGTACCAACACTTTCGCAAAATTCTGAACTTTGAGCAATAATACCTGTAACATCTTTATAGAACATAGCAAGGGAATTCATGGCCCGAGATCCATGATAACGCACACGCACTGTAGAGTTCAGAAGGAAAATCGCCGGGAATGCACGGACTCCATACCTTGACAATACTCTGCAATCCAGATATTGAAGTTGAGTTGCATACCAAATATAGTAAAATCTAGCTGCAGTGTTTATCTCATTTAGAAAAGAGCGCACCTTGGTTTGATATTAGATTCTTCAAAAGAAAAATGAGCAATTGTTGGGAAAAAGGATGACAGCTTTTGAAAATCTGTCCTGAAAATTTTAGAAAAAGGACACCACGAAGCATAAAAAAGAATAGCAACAAAATCTTCCCTGTTCTGCAGCACAAGTGCTACTGCCTTTTGCAGCACCCCATCATCCCCCTGATACATAAAAATGAAGGGTGAAGTAACAGACACAAAGAGTAGTCATTCAAAATTTGAGAACAAAATCGAAGTCCAAGAAGCATGACTAGTAGTGTAGTTTGGCCAGTCAGCTTTTGTATATAAATCTGAATGTACAAGAAACAAAGGGGGAATATTCAATATACTGCCAAGGAATTGGTAAAAAGTGGAAGCCTACCTAACTTATATTGGTGCCCTCTAAAATGTTGCATACGCTCTTCTATGCAGCAGATGACCAAAACGAGTTGTTGACAAAACTCAATCTGTGCTATTTAATTTAAGGCCTTGTTTGGATCCATTAGCTGCTAATAGTCCATAGCTAATATTAGCTACTATTAGCTAGTTTGGTCCAACTAGTGGAATAGTTGTTAGTTGGGTATTCAGCTAATAATTAGCTAAACTATTAGCTAGAGTGCTAGACCTGTTCGGATCAAGGAGCTAATTATTAGCAGCTAACTACTAGCTCTATGGATCCAAACAGGGCCTAACTTTTGACGGCAGATAGCAATTGGTAGACATTCCACGGAGAAGAAAACATGCACTTAATAATGGGCATATTTATCATGATGGTGTGTGCATACAAAATAAAAGAGATTCCATGTTCAGACTAGCTTCTGCGTGTATATCAAACAGAAATGGAAGTCAAACCCTGAAGGTGGTACAAAATATAATAAAGAAATGCTCTGCTCAGCACATATCCAACATAAGAGTCCAGCTGAACTGTAATGAACTTAAAGATCATGGATAGTCATAGGTAACAGAAAAGAATCTCTGCTCTTATACAGTCAGGCAGCTATAAGTCATCTCCGGTGTCATCGAATTACTAACTAGTAACTACCAGCACCACAAGCATCAATACCCAAGATATTCAGCAGAATATCCGGGGAGGCAGTTGCAGGGACACCAGATGCTTAAGCTTTCAAGCCAACTGATCCTGGTTCTTTTTTTTTCAATCCAACAGTCAGGTAGCTATAACTCATCTCTGGTGTCATCGAATTACTTACTACCAGCACCACATGCATCAATACCCAAGATATTCAGCAGAATATTCGGGGTGGCAGTTGGAAGGGACACCAACTGCTTAAGCTTTCAAGCCAACTGATCCTAGTTTTTTTTTTTCAATCCAACTGTCAGGAACGCTGCCATGGACACTGAGATCCGTCAGTTTTGGCATCACGTTGAAACTACTGAACATCATCTTGGAAAGACCAACAAAGAACTACTTGTAATTGTAATTTATAAAGCCGCAATATATGAAGAATTCATCATGGGCAGAGCTTAGATCGAGCATTAGCATGGTATTCACGGCTTCAGGAGTCAATCAAATCACAAAGGTGGATATAGAAGCAAAAAGACATTACATATTTAAATTCCCTCGCTCCAAACGGCAACCTGGCAGCGCAAGCAACCGGACGCCAATTTTCTGCAAGAAGAGTGATGGGGAGATCAAACGGCAAAGCGAAACCCACCTCCACAACGCCGGCGCGGTGACCCCGGAGCCCCAGGGCGTCCACCGTCCGACAGGAGGTGGACGCGTGCCGCAGGATGACGGCGGCGGCGGGCTGCGTCGGGCAGGCCGCCGTCCCCTCGCCCGCGGCGGCGAGGATGGGGAGGAGGAGAAGCGCCGCCGCCGCCGACATGGCCGCGCCCACCGCCGGAGGAAACCCTAGCAGATCGCGATCCCGCATGGCGTGAGACGTCGCGACTCGCGAGTCCTCCTGCTGGCTCCGACTCCGAGCGCGCGAGCAAGCGAGGAGGAGCCGGCCGGGCCGCGGCCGCGGGCGCGGGAGTCGGGGTGGGGCAACGGTCGGGAGAAAGAGAGGAGAGCCGGAAACGACGGGGAGGTAGCTCGGTCCGTCGGTCGCTTGCAGCTGTTGCCCGTGTGTGTGTAACTTTTTACCATTCACGGATATCACCACATCTTGATAGCACTTTTAAAATAGCTCGTACTTATTTACTATTGATACAGAGCATTTAATATATTCTTATCATTTTCGCTGACGTGGTACGCCAACTCAACCTAACAGCATAGACCGACCACAGAATTGACATTTTTGCCCCTCATCTATTTCTTCTATCTCTATCCCTTCCTTGCTCGAGCTCTAGTCATGGCCGACGATGAGGTCCATGGTGGTGGCTGACAGGACATAGAGAAAGTTGGGGGCGAGGCAGCCGGGGCCACGGCCTACAGGTCCACGGCCGCGCCCGACGCCGGCGACGAACATGGCGGCACCTGGAGCACGCGCAGGAGCTCGAGGCCGATGTGGTGCCCGTCGGGGACGAGGTCGGCGAGCTCGAGGCGGGGCCTCTCGCCTCCTCCGCGGCGGCCCGGTTGCCCCACAGGCCCCTGAGGATGGTATGGGAGGAGGAGT